AGTGTGAAAGCCTCTTGAATCTTCCTTGCCTTTCTTGTAATAATTGCTCCTTTGATATATGTAATTGGTCACAAATGGATTCGTATCAAATGGGATATTGAGAATTAAAAACATATATATGGGTCAACTTGACATTTGGAGACACTAAGCAAATGAAAGATATTGACACATGTGGTTAGGGTTATTTAGACATCTCATATTTTGACACTAGGTTGGACATCTCATTTGGATAATATTCATAATAGTTTCTAATTTCTTTCATATTTTTGTTTCAATTGTCTAGTTTTCACTGATCAAACTTCCGTCAACTTTATTTCCCATTTCCACAGCTTCTTTTTTTCTTTTCTTTTCTTCCGGTGACTCACTATTATTCTAGCAGCTGGAAACTTTTCTAGTTGCTTTTCGCTCTTTTATGTCGACACTGTTATGTCGGTGGCTGAAAAATCTTGCAGCAACAAACTCACATCATGAATAATTTTCCTATTGTTATCATTTTCATATTATTAATCCATGTAGTCTTGATGTTTATGTAACCATAAAATTTCTTTAAATTGTTCATAACTAAACGATATTGACGGCCTAAATTACTAGATTTCCCAAAAATTTAGTGTAAATTGTTCTTAAACTATTTGAGTAATGTTATTATTTATTATTTTTTTAGTAAGGTTATTGTATCAATTCTCAGTGGAGCTTCATGTAAAATGTTGTAGGATAAACATATACCCGTCTAATAGAGCATATAATATATACATTTTTTGGTACATATTTAACTATTAGGTTATATAATATATATCAAGATAATCCTTTTACATACTAGTGATTTAATCTAAATCATTTATTATCTTATATACAATTATTATCTATAAATTTTATAATAAATGGTATATAATGCATATATGGTATATATAATGTTACATAACCCAATAGATTGACTGAAAAAGAGACTAAGAATATGTACATAAGTAACAAAATCCTAAGAACTTTTATAGATAAATTAGAGTTCAAACTTTTCCAAACTTGTTGTTGGGAAATTTTCTTTCAAAACATCAGCTAGAGTTTTAAAATTTAAAACTTCAAAATAAGCATTTAATTTATTAGGTAGTCATATCTCATGAATACTTAAAAGAACATGCAAATAAAAGATCATGGGTCATCCTCTTTATCCTCCTTGGACTCAATGTCATCCATAAGCTAAACCAATGAGAAGCAACATCGAATGCCTATTTTTTCGTTCTACCATACTATTTTATTGAGGAGTATCCTCATAAGCAAGTTAATGAACAATGCATTTATCTTTCACAAACTCACTCAAGTAATTATTGAAATATTCAATTTCATTGTCAAAATGCATGCTAATTTTGGTTTGAAATTGAATTTCAATCACATTGTAAAAACATTTGAAAGTATCATTCACTTCAAAAAAAATTTGTCAATAAATAGATCCAAGATAAGCGAGTATGATCATCAATAAAAGTCATAAATCAAAGTTTATCATTATGAGTTACAACTTTTGAAGTACCCCAAACATCGCTATGAATTAGTTCGAAGGTTTTTGTAAGGCTTTGGTAAATAAGTGGTTTGATGATATTCAACAAAAATGAAAATTTCATAGTGAAAATGAGACAAACAATAAACTCTTTCAAACAAATTTGAAAACAAAATTTGAGATATAAGAAACTAGGATATTCTAGCCTTAAAATGTCAAAACATAATGAGTTCTCGAGAACTGATACTACTGAATTAGTTTGTTATGTACTTAACACTAGAATATTCATCAAAATGGTCGAGAGCATCAAGCATCCTAGCACATCCAAACGTCTACTCCAAGGCTTGGTCCTAAAAAAACATAATGAGATTTAAAGAAAGTAACATGATAACTTAGAATCTTTAAGGACGCTATATGAAAAAAAGATTGTATGCTAATTTAGGGACATAAAAGACAATTAAAGAGTAATGGTTTCAGTTAATTTAATAATCAGTTTCCTATAATAGAGAAGAGAAACTGCCATCGATTCAAAATTTTGAGAAAAGTTAGTCACATGGTTAGAAACGGTAGAATCAATAACCCATGAACATGAACCAAAATTAAAATATATTAAGGTATTTACCTATTTAGGTCAAGGAAATACAAAAATTACTATTATGATAGGTGATCGCTACTAAATGGACTTGAGTCTAACACTACTAGTATGAAATATAACACTTGATCACTCTTATCCTCTATGATACATGTTGGGTCATTTCAATGATTAACTCAACCATGGTATCTAAAAATAAGTAACCAAATCAATTACGACTAGGAATTGATACTTGAAAAGAAATAACTATAAAACTCAAATGAACAAAAACCGGATTAAACCAAACATTGAACTAACTAGATTTAAACTAACTGAGAGCTCCATATCGACTCCAGCAGAGTTTTATTCAGTTTGATAATATTTATATTTCTTATTCTTATTTCTTCATTTTTAATAAAGAGATGAATCTCTAACCTCTATAAATTTAAATATGATAAAATAATACTTTTATTTATATTTTAGAATAAATTAGAAATGGAAATTTGATTTGATTGTTTCTTTGTATGAATTTTCCAAAAAAGAGAAAAACATGAAACATCGTCACTTCTAAAATGTTTAAAATGGAACGTTAACGAATCCTAATTATTTAATTGTCGTGTTAAAAAATAGGGGTCGTTAAAGAAAAAAAACAGACCTTGGTACTCTCGCAGTACCTGAATTTTTCCCCTCGTTCGTCCCACGAGTACGGCGGCCACCTGTTGAAGCAAGCAGAGGAACAGCGTTTGCGAACACAAACTCGTCACCGCTCGAACGACTCATACGGCCGAGACAGAGACCGGCGACCGTTCGACGATGGACTGGACTGCGCTGAACTGATCCAATCTAATTTTACTCCGATTCTCTACTCTCTCAAATATGGTTGGCCCAGCGGTGAAGGGAGTGATAGTGGATGGTTCTGTACTATTTTTCAATTCTAATGGTGACAATCGCAAGCGTTCATTACGACCCGCTGCCGATCCTCTCCTCCGCCAGCTCCGGTATTCCATGTTTCGAACGGTATCTCTCACAATGTCCCCTCCTCCCCCCGACATATATTTTTTTTAAAGCTCAAGTCACTATATGGAATGATGTTTCGATGCTACATAACGAGAAGCTGTTTTATCTCTCTTTTTTTTATATAATTTTTTTAATTCAATTTATCAAATTTAAATATTGAAGTGGGATCTATGTTCTTTAGTTTTCTTAATCTGAAATACTTTTACTTACATTCATCCAGACATGCTTCCCATTTGTCTTCTTCTTAATAAGTGAGGGCAAAAACTCATTTTTTTTGATAGGAAAGTGAGGACACAGACTCATGAAATTGAGGATGCTATAAAAGAAGATAAATTTGAAATAGAATGAATAGTTTCTCAATGCTACCCAGATCTTATTATATTCATTAGGTTCACAAGATGGAACATTGAACTGTTAATATGAAATAGAGAGTGGTAAACAATCTTCTTAAATTATTATTAAATTTAATTGTAGGCTCATAAGTGATAGATCGATGTAACCAACTTATCTATAGAGAAAAAACAAAAAGTAAGAGTAGAGGAAGAATTTCTTTGGATTGCCCCCTTTAAATGATCGTAGCACTCCTGTGTATTGCGCCTATTTTCAAGAAAATTCGACCTCGTATTGATAACATTAGCAGTTGTTGTGCTATTAAGACCATCGTCAGCTTCAGCAGTCTTGCGCTGTTAGTTAGTTAGATAGTATCGAGGTGCATGCTGGGAATTCTTTGCGGGAAGCTCTTGGACTCAAGGATTTGAATAGCTGTGACCTCCATTTGAACGCTAGGTGCTTTGTATGATTAATGCATTTAGTTTACCTTTTGGAGGGCTTGCGCTTCTGTTTGTTTCTCAACTAGTGGCAAGCTCAGGTGCAATGAACTTGTGCAGAGACCAAGCTATCTTGATGGCTTGAGGTCGAGCAATGCGGTTCATACTCTTGTAAGCGAGCAATGTGGCCAGTCTGACTTTTTTTTTTACTTGAGTACCCCAACCTTCCTGGGAAAGGAGAAATCCAAATAGACAATGAAGGGGAAACCAACGATGGGAAGGGCCATGCCTGACAATTTCTTAGCCATCATCGCCACCACCGCACCAATAGAGCTTATGATTAGGGGGCTTTTGCCTCCTGTGCTGTGTTCATCGGTCCATGGTAGTGCTAGTTTTTTTGCCCTTGTTATTGGGTTGCATGTGAAGGATTAAAGATGGAGAGGCAATTGAGAAACCGAGGAACTTTAAGGAGCCTGAATTTGATGAGCTCAAATTACTGCTAGCTTATCTTGCTTCCTTCAATCTTTTTGATAGGGAGGATGCAAAAATTTGGAAAATTGACTCTTTTGATATATTTTCGACTCAGTCCTTACTTTCCATCCATAGCTCTTCTTTTATGCATCTGGATCTATTTCAAGCATTATGGAAGTCCAAAAGCCCTAAGAAAATTAGCATGCTTATTTGGATCTTATTTAATGGGGGGTTGAATGCTTCGGAATTACTCCGGTTGCCTACTATTGTATTATTTCCCCCAATGGGCGGTTCCATTGGCAAGTGCTTGGGGTCTCTTGGTCATACCGGCTTAGGGGTTTCAAGTTTGAACCTTTGGGTGAGAGTATCTTTTGGTATTGGGGCAAAACTCTGACTCCTGGTTATAATAAAATTTTTTTTTGTATTGTTCCCCTCCATTTGTGTTCTCTGATGGCAAGATATACAGGAACAGAATGATCTTTTCTTCCTTTGCTCTTATGCACATTGTTGAAATTATTTATTCAGTTTCTTCTCTCAATGGGTTACTGGGCCACATTCTTCAGCCAATTTCCTTCAGCTTTTAGTGGGCCTCATTTTGTGCTCCCAATCTCATTTCTTTTTGGTTAATGCCGTTAAAGCCATTATTAATAAATTATGGTTGGAACATAATCAGCAGAACTTCGAAGAGAAGTTCTTCGCTTTGAGGGAGCAGTTTCATTTGATCAAGATAAAATCTTCCCATTGGTGTTCCTTGTCTTCTTTGTTTGATAATTATGCCTTTAGCGATATTCGTATTCATTGGAATGCACTCATATTCCCTTGTTAGCTTCTATTTTTATGCTCTCTTTCTCCTCTACTTGGGGGTATCCTTGAACATTTTTTTTGTATCTTTTCATTTATCAATGATATTTTCATTTCTTGTTAAGAAAAAATAAATTGAGAAACTCGGTAAACTGGTGGTGACACAAAATATCAGAATTTGCCTCACGATGAGTGCTAGACTGATGTGGTCATGATCCTACTTTCATGTCTTATTTGCAAGAGAGGGTATGGTAGGGTGTTATGCTTACACTAGTTTGGTGTTTGCTAAAGCAACTCCAATGATCAAGTTTAGAAGCTTTTTTTTTTAACCAAGAAACAAACTTTTCATTGATTGATTAAACGAAACAAAAAAATGTTCAAGGAAACAATCTCTCAAAGGGATAGAAAGATAACAAAACAAAAATAGAGCTACAAGGAGGAAAAGACCTCTTGACTAAAAATAATATCGTTAAAAGCATAATTATGAAACAAAAAAGACAGTGAACACCAACGAGAGCACTTGATTTAGGCCAAATCAATCTGCTCCATCTAAACTAAGGGCTTTCCTTTGAGAATTCTCTGGTTACATTCCATTTATATTTCAGAAATGTTGGCTTCACAGGCATATTGATCCAAAAAAAAAAAGCTTTGGAGTTTAAATCAGGACCAGCGAGAAGGTGGAGTAAATTTGTGGCTGGATCAGATGAGAAAACCGAATGAAGTGAAACTATGCGCAATAAATGGTGCCAAGTGCCCCCGGGGTATAGTCACAAAGCTTTGAATCTCAGTTATAAAAAAATAAAATGGTGCCAAGTGCCAACAACTCTGTGCATGGGACAGTGGAAAAATAGGTGATTTTGGTCCCCAGCAAAGAACACAAAGAGAAGGGAAATGCACAAAATTAGGCATTCTTTGCTGAAGTAGTTCAAAAGAAGGTCGAAGTATTCAGTAGAGGGCGAGGGCACATAAAACACTTTTTTTTTTTTTTTTTATAAGAAACAAAACTTTCATTATAAAAGAGGGAAATACAAAAAGAGTAGGAGATGAAGTACCCCCACAAGCCAACGAAAGTTACAAAAACGCCTCCCTTGGCAAAGATTTGTGTCACACCATAAGTATAAAAAAGCTTAGATAATGAGGTCCATGAAGATGCAAAAATTTTGACAAGGTCCCAAAAAGTATGCACGTGCATTTCTTTGTCACGGAAAACCTGTTGATTCCTCTCATAACATATTTGCCAAAGGATACTCGCCACCGCATTTGACCATAGATGAGAGCTTGACCACTGAACTGAGTCCCCCAAAGGAGCTGTCTTAAAGCTTCACCTGCACTCCTAGGAAAGACCCAACTAAGATCAAAAGTCTTCATAAGCTTCTCCCAGCTACTAGCACTATAAGGACATGTAAAGACGAGGTGCATTTGATCTTCTGCGTTCAATTTGCACATACAGCACCAATTTGGGAGATGTACCAATCAGGACAAGTTTTCTGCAGTCTAGTACACGTTTGTATTCTTTCCCCATCGATAATCCATAAGAATGTCTTCACCTTTTTAGGAATTTCCAGCTTCCAAACAGCACTGCTCCCATTGAGATTTGATCCCTGATGCCCTATTAATTTAGGTACTAAAGATTTAATAGAAAATATGCCGCTACTCTCAAGCCCCCAAGTCATTGAGTCTTCCTCTTTTGTAGGCATCTTTTCTGCAATTTCACTGGACATCTTCAACCACTCCACAATTTCCTGATCCGATAAATTTCTTCTGAAGCATAGATTCCAACCTCTTTGCTCAACAGACCAGCATTGAACTATCATGAACTCTTTAGAGTTAGTAGTTCTAAAAAGTCTAGGAAAAGCACCGGAAATTGGAGCGTTGGAGAGCCCAGGGTCCTTCCAAAAATGAATTTTTTACCCATTGCCCACCTTAAATTTGTACCAGTATGTTGTCTCTTTGCAGCAATGAAGTATGTTAACCCAAGGCCTTTTGTATCTAAATCTGCCTTTGAAATGTGGCCACCATTCATGAGGAAGATACCGATACTTTCTTGCCATAACGCTTCTCCAAAGAGAGCTTTCCTCTATTAGGAAGCGTCATCCCCATTTGGCCAGAAGGGCTGTATTTTTAGCTTTCAGATTGCCCAGTCCAGCTCCTCCCATGCTTGTAGGCCAAGCAGTCACTTCCCATGCAATGGGTTGGGCCTCCATGCTGTTTTCCCCCTTTCCAAAAGAAGTTTCTAATTAATTTCTCCATCCTTATAATCACCTGCTTTGGGCATTTAAAGATCGAGAAGAGATAAAGGGGAATATTTGTCAGCACTAAATTAATAAACGTTACTCTACCTCCTCTCGAGAGAAGAAAAGATTTCCAGCTAGCAAGTTTCCTCGTCTATTTCTCCACTATTGGTTCCCAGAAAGCTGCTTTCTATGCTTTCCCCCCACTTGCATTTCCAGATAAGGTAAAGGCCATGGACCAGCCTTGCAACCCCATCTGTCTGCTAAGTTCTGCAAATCATCACCACCCACATTCAACTCCGCCACCATCGATTTTGCTAAATTGATCTTCATGCCGGAGATCTTATCATAACAGCAAACCATCTCTTTAAGATTCAGAAAACAAACCTCATTATCAGCTGAAAGAATTAGTGTATCATCGGCGAATTGAAGGTGGTTGATTTGAAGGTCGCTGTTCCCTACTATTAGCCCTTCCAACCAGCCTTCTCTAGAGCCTTTTTCCAACATTCTGCTCATCACATCAGCCGCTAGAACGAACAGAAAAGGGGCGAGCGTGTCCCCTTGCCTCAAGCCTCTTTGGGCTTTAAACTTCCCCCTTGGCCTTCCATTAATAATAACAGAAAAGGAGGTATTCGTTATGCATCCTTTAATCCACGAGATCCATTTGCTGCCGAAACCCATTTTTATGGATGTTAGAGTATATATATATATTAGTATATTTTATTCTCTT